GTAATAAACGAGTTGGTGACGACCCTCATTTGAGTACAAAATCGTACTCGCGCGGAGTAAACTCTCCACCAACAGCTTCGCACGCTACCACGTTGGACTCCTGGAAAGCCACGCCCGGCCACACACATACTGCGTCATAGCACAGTACACGCCGCCCGCCGAACCCGTCCCCACCACCGCCAGTTTAGCAGCAGCAGGGAATTCCCAGCACACAGACTCCATACCGCAGGACCTAGCTACACGCATCCGCGCCCTGCATCCAGGTACCGAAACGCCAGCGCAACCACCACAGCCACCACCACCACCCTTCAACCCCACCTCCACCTCCACTCCACCCCCATCCCCCACAAAACCACACACATCCCTCCTCACCCCCCACCACTCCGCCTTCCCCCCCGCCTTCCTCGCCTTCCGCCACACCTTCCGCGACCTCACCCACCTCGCCTGGGAAGACCGCTTCGCCGCCTCCGCACGCACCACACAGCACACACGCGCCCTTATACTCGGCATAGAACCCTACATCTACAAGAAACCAGACTTGGGGCTGCCGATGGGATTGCTGCCGCAGGTGGGCGGTGATGTATTTGCAGATGAGGCGTGGGTGTCTGGTGCAGGTGATGCTGAAACCCGGTATGTGCGGAATAGATTCGGGTTGCCGGGAGTGGATGAAATGTTGAGCGCGGAAGGCGTTGTTGGCGCGGAGGTGTTGTTGCAGAAGCAGCGGGAGGAGGAGGGTGGCGCTGGTGTTGAAGTGTTGGGGAATCGGGGACAGGGGAGAGGGGAGAGGGGAAATGGATCTGGGAGGTTGGATGGGCTTGGGAAGAGTGCGGGGGTTAAGAAGACGACAAATTGGAATAAGCCTTTCATTAATGGGGTTTCTGGGACGCCGAGGGCGGAGGCGAGTTTGCGTGCGGTTGTTGGTGCTGGTGGGGGTGCTGGTCTTCGAACTGGAGCTTATGCTTCAAGAGCCAACGGGGCCAGCATATCGAGTGGGAACACTGGACGTGTGGGCATGGGCATCGTGGGACTAGGAGCCAGAGTCCGGAAGAGATATGATGATCGGCCTTTTCCCAGCCAGCGGGAGGTTTGAGAGCGTGGTTGTGATTTGTGTTTTTTTCCGCCTAGATGAGGAGATTTGCTGGGGGGGGGCGAGGAAATCAAAATGTGAGAGATGGGGGTTGAGATTGGATTTTGTGGGGAGGGATGGTGTGTGGTTTGATGGGGAGTTTGCTTATGGATTCTTTGGGGAGGTTTAGAATACCAGGGCTTGGAGTCTTTGATTGGCTTGGAGTCTTTGATTGGACGGATCTTTTACTAGATGGGCCTACACTTAACGGATATTCATGACAACTTTTTTTCAAAACCATGCTATTCATACTGAACATCACCCTTCATGCTCATAGTCACATCCCTCAACCCTTCACAGCCTTGACAAACCCCCTAATCTTCTCCAAACTCTGTTCGCCATCCTCTTCAACCCCACTACTCACATCTACACACGCCACCCTCCCTCTGAACTCGCCCATCTCCTCCAACACAGCGCCCACATTCTCTGGATTCAATCCACCTGCCAAGATAATCAAGAGTCCCTGGTCCCGCGCCAGCACCTTTTTGACCTCGCCTAGATCCAACTTTGTCCCACTGCCGCCCGATCCGGCGTCCAAAAGTGGAAGCGCATGGAACCCTCTGGCCCCGATCCCATGATCCGCAGGGTTGAAAGCGCGCAGCACGGGAACAGGAATGAGATTGGCCCACTCGATCGGCTCCTGGCCATGCAACTGGACGACATCGAGGTCAAGGAGGCGTTGTTGCTGAAGAATGTATTCGAGACTCTGGTTGCGGAATACACCTACCAAGAGGGCGCGGTCATGCGTACTGAGCAGCCTTGAAGCACCGTGGTCAAAGAAATCGATTCCGTGCTTGACGTCTGCCATCAGCGATGACTTGGAGATGACGGGTTTCCTAGTACGATGCACGGTTTCGGAGATGGCGAGGGCGGTGGATGCGGAGACTGTGCGTTTGAGACCAGGAGCGAGAATCATCCCTATGAAGTCTGCGCCGGATTCGATGGCTGTGCGTGCAGCTTCTGCACTTCGAGTACCACATATTTTTACCATTGGCGCTGTAGGTGCGTCTATGGAGGTTGATGATTGTGTGGAAGAACCGCCGAGAAGTTCAGCGATGAATGATGCAGTGTTTGAGGCGCGCATCAAGGCTTCGCCCACGAGTACAGCGCCGACGCCAGACTGGATATAAGGCTCGACATCTGTAGGACCCGCGATACCGCTAAGAGCGCAGAGGATGGTCTCTTTGGGAACCATGTTGATGAGGCGGTTGGTAGTCTCCATGTCGACTTCGAAGTTTACCAAGTTGCGGTTGTTAACGCCAATGACTTGTGCTCCGAGTTTGACTGCAATTTCGGTTTCATCTGCATTTTGCACTTCAACTAGGGGCTCCATGCCGAGGGAACGCGAGTAATCGAATAGGCGCTGGAGAACAGACTCTTCTAGCATCTTGACAATTAGCAGGACGGTGTCTGCGCCCGCGAGACGGGCTTCGAGGATCTGGTATTCGTCGAAGATGAACTCTTTGCGAAGGATAGCGGGGCGATTGGGCATGCCTGAGAGGCTTTGACGCACAGCCTTCAGGTCATCAATGCTGCCTTTGAACCATTCGGGTTCGGTAAGGACGGAAATCGTACTTGCGCCGGCTTTTGCGTAGGTTCTTGCTTGAGCGGGGGCGCATGCGCTGAGTGAGATGACGCCTTTGGAAGGAGAGGCGCGCTTTATTTCGGCCATCAGTGAGAGTTTGAAAGGCGATTGCTTAAGACGCTTGGGGAAATCGATCTGAGGAGGTGCCAAGTTGAGGTCGTATGCGGCTTGGAGGTCCTCGAAGCGCTGTGACGGTATCTTCTTTTGTTCAGCAACGGCTGCCCTGCGGTGTTCGTAGATTTTTTCTAGAATCGACGTCTGCTTGTCCTTCTTTGCATCCCCGTTCATGCCATTAGCTGCTGCTAGGGCTCCAGTCTCCTTTAATATCCTCTCATTCTCCGCCCAGGTACCACCTTGCATGCGCAAAAAGTTGCGCATCATCGTGCGTCCATCCTCGGTCAGGATGCTCTCTGGGTGAAACTGCACACCCTCCACAACGTACTCCTTGTGGCGGACGCCCATGATGACTTCCCTGACCTTGGCATCGGGATTTGCAGGTATGGTGGCTGTGACTTCGAGACAGTCGGGAAGTGATCCGTGGGTACCGGCGAGCGAATGGTACCTTGTAACGGGGACATTCTGGGCGACACCTGCAAATACCCCTTTGCCATCGTGCTTGAGGGGTGAAGTCTTGCCATGTAGGATTTGTCCCGTGACATCGACCGTGCCACCGTAGCTGTAGAAGATGCACTGTCTACTTTCATGTTAGCTCCGGGTGTCTTTGGTCAATTGGAGTCGAAATAGACTCACTCTCCCATGCAAACACCCAGAATGGGAATCTTGCCACTGTAATGCTTGATGGCTGCATTGCTAATGCCAGCGTCCCTCTCCGGGTGTCCTGGGCCCGGACTGATGACCAACTGAGTGGGGTTCTTCGCAATCAACTCATCGAGGGTGATTTCATCGTTGCGGTAAACTGTGACCGTAGCGCCTTCGAATACGAGGTACTGGTATACATTCCAGGTGAATGAGTCGTAGTTATCAATGAGAATGACATTGGAGGCGGTTGGTATGGGTGGAGACAGGTCGGGGTTCCTGGGCGAGTGGTCGATCAGTGTAGGGGAAGCCATTGTGTGGCTGTTGGGTATTATTGCCCTCGCAGCTCGATGACAGTGGCCTCTGGTATTATGCGCCGGAGCAGTGTACAGAGGAGCACTCTTTCCACCGTTACTGAGGGGTGACTCGAAGTTGGAGTTCGAAGAGCGCTTTGTTCAAGACAGGCGGGAGCAGCAGCACTTGCAGATTTGTTCGGGTGGCCTCTGTATAAATGGCCACAGCGTGTAGGTAGGGTGGGGGAAGGTAAGGAGGTGTGGAGAGGAGAAAGCAAGCAAAGTGTGATGGTTCATGGCGGCGGGGTGAGTCAATCGACACGGCGAGACTACTGTACGTCAGCTAAGTTACTCCACTGAGAGGTTGAAAGTGCGGAGTTAATTACGGAGGTGCTGCACAACGGCCAACCACCAGAATCTCCGATGAGGTGGGACAACAGCATCCAGAGACTGTATGCATTGAGGCATGACAAGATTCTGCACCAAGTAAACTGTAATGCAAGTCTCGAAAGGAAAGAAATGAAAAATGAAAACTGACTACCTTTTTGTCTGTCAAACAGACTGAAGATGGACTTTGAACAGCTCGCATTGCTTGACCGTGCGTGGACACGCCTGGTGTCAAGCCACCGCTAGTGACGCCACAATTGGACTAGCGACGCCACAGCCCTGTCTTTCAACGCGACTTCCCTGGTCAACGATGCCAAACACAAGACATTCACTCCTCTCCACGCTCCCACGCCCACACACCCACACCCACACCCACACAACGCCTCTATGGCCTTTGGATAGCCCAAGCCCATACCAGCGCACTGCAGCGCCACCATGGCCCCGATCCAGCCCCCCGAGCTCGACCTGGCCAAATGCTTCACCGGCGAACAGCAGCTAGTGTATGTTGTTTACCTGTAGAAGAAGAAAAAAACTGTCTTTTGATCGTCAGGTTGACTTTTGGCCAGCACCTGGGATATTGCCTACCGCGCCCTCTGCGACCCCGAAACCGCATCGAGGAGTGACGCCCTGCGCGCGTTCCTCACCTCCCCGGCCAATGTCGAGACGCTCAGCCGACCATGGAAGCCCTTCCCAGACCCGTCAACGCAGGAGAAGAACCAATTCGACTCCAAGACAGCTCCAATCAACGTCACACCTGCGCCCAACGCACATTACGACATCGAAGAAATCAAGCGCGACAGCCTGTGGCTCTCCAAAGAGGCGCAAATCTCAGAGTATGCCGCCCTGCAGATTGTAGTCCAGGAATGGCAAGGTCGCTCTGCCACCCAGCTGCTAAGTGGCCTCACCGAAGAAGAGGCGCTGAGCGTTCAGGACGCTGCAGGAATGGCCAATCTAGGTGCATCCACCTTCATGCCCAACTCATCTATCCTCACTAGGCCGCTGGCCTCGCGGAACAACGAGCTCAAGGCAGACCATCTCCGCCAGCTGCGCATCATTGCAACCTACCACTCCACCTGTGCTTCCATCATCCGTGTCAGCCAACTCCTCGTCTCGTGGGGGTCGGCCTCGCAATTGCGCAGTCACACTAGCTATGGCAACAATTACATGAGCGTGGGCGCTGGCTGGATCGAAGAGCTCGGACAGGCCGTAGCCACGAGACAAAATGGCGCTTCCACAGATTCGGGCGCAAAAGCGCTCGATGAATGTCTCAAGGCCGTGGTCAAGAGGGCCGACTCGTTAGACAGTGGTTGCGACTTTGCAGTCGACCCGTCCATATGGGAAACCGTCTCAGAGTACTGGGTAGTCGCGCAGACCACAGAACTGCTCCATCTTTTGCATCTCGCCTTCGTTCATGCCGACTTAATTGTCAAAGGGTTTGTTCCTGCCGTCACTGTCGAAGATTGGCTCACAGCTTTTGCCGGCCGTGGCTTTTTCCGTGACTTTCCTGTCGTCAGTCCCCGACAGGCACCTCTCATCCCGGTCATACAGGTCTTGGTTTCTTTGGTATCCCTAGCTATTCTTAAAACCAACGTCATTGTCGACGATCTTTCATCCGGAGATTACAAACACTGGGACCCGTCCTGTTACGCTCTCAATACAGGTATTGTCGAGAGCATAACAAACATTTTTGCACAGGCCTTGATGCTAGAACACAGTCCTGCTACGCCTGCCATTCTTGCCTGGAGTGTGCTGACCTTTGTACTCTGTCAGCGAGCGACTGAGGAGGAACAGGAGCGTGAGCGCCTACTTGAATTCAGTCAACCCTCCCAGGATCCCATGCCTTCCCCCTCGGCGCTCGAGGAGTGTGCCTCGGCCGTCCGTGGAATGAGCGATCCGGATCTGTTTAACGACAGGCCGCCATATGAGGCAATGATTCTAGCAACCTTGGCCCTGGATGTGTTCGCTATCGTCACCCAGTTCACCGAGATCGGTGTGCCTGCTTTCGGAACCGACATAGACCGTGTCTCCCGGGATCGACTTCGACTCTTGTACCTTCAATTGATGAGGATTACGCTAGGAAACAATGTGGTTAGCTACTCTGATGTTTTGGTTGCGAGCACATGCACAATCCTTGCTGGGGAAAAGACATTTCGCAACTGGGTAGATTCCGATCCTTCTCAGCAGTCAGATCCGGTCGTAGCATACTTCCTCGAAGACGAGGATGTTTTGAGACCTGCGCTTCTCGACTATTCCCGCTTGCGATACCCCTACGAGACGGAGCCCTTCTTGCAGTTCTGCAGTGTTCTGACCCGAGGCGACAAAACTTTGCAGAATGGGATGCCGACATTCGTTGAGAAGCTTACAAACGCAAATCGGCTGATGCAAGCTATACCGCCAGGATTTACGGGCTACAAATTGACTCGTGAAGAAGAGAACAAGGATTGGGTCGTTCTCACAGAAGATCTCTCTCTGTTCATGCCCAAGCCAGCATCGAGCATTGGCAATCAAGGCCGCTTGCTTCTGTCAAGCACATCAACACAAAGCGAGGAAACCATGAGAATAGCGGCAGGGACCGAAGGGATCAGGCTAGATGGAGGCAAACAACCAGAAGTCGCGATATGGTACCACCAACATGCCACATTGCCCTACCTATGCCAGCTGCTGTCTACCTATCCAATTGGAAGTCAGACCGTCGAGAGCTTCTCACAACTACCGGCGCCTCGGGAGATTGTCAGCGAGATCATCGGATTCTTTGCAGATTTGCTGCACTCATCTCTGCGATCCTCCGAGGGAATCTGCTCAGATGAGTTATTAGAGCACCTCGACATCAATCCTGACAGAAGTCGAGATACCCTCAGTATCATGCTTGCCATATTCGAGGAAGAACTGTTGTATCTTGCAAAGGAACCAAATAACGAGGCCTCATTGGAGCTCCTGGTCAAGTGCACACACTTCCTGGAAGCCATGGTCATCATCACTCCGCACAGAGTATGGCCTTGGCTGGCTAGGAGCCGTTTGCTCGAAGGTGATGGTAGCGGAAGTCTAGCTACGATTTTGATTGGTACAGAGATGGTGCTCGGCCGTTATGACTTCCTCATTGGATGCATCAGGATTTACAAAGGCCTTGTGAAGGATGCCGTCGAGCGTTCTGTTTCTCGCAAAGTCCCCACAAAAGCACTCAGTCGATTCAATGCACCAGCACCTTCAGAAAGCGGCACTTCCGACAAGATTATAAGCACTGTTCTCTTCACCTTTGGCAGGACGTTGGCAAGCATATACGAGACCTCGCTGAGCTGGAAATACTCACAGCCCGAGCACCGCCCAGAAATTAACATTGCGATTTGCGAGATTTTCACCACGATACTCAAGTTCGCGTACGGCGTAGATGATGCACCCCAACTCTCCGTCAAGCTCACAAAGTCCATCGCACCGATTGCTGAGTATCTCACCCAGCTATACACTACCCCATCAAACAGCGATGTCCTCACCAATCCTATCTTATCGGCCTTGGTGATTGGTGTCAGTACTGATGACATGACACTGCTTACTAGCTCAAGTGCTTTGTGGACCCGACAAACGCGCACCACGTTGATTTTCTCTGACATACTTGTCAGAATTTCCATATTACTAAACAAGCCTTGGACACATCTCGAACAGCAGCTGTTCAAGGCGACACCTCTTCTAGCACGCTTGTACGCGACGAGCGACGCTTGGAAATCACAGGTTGTGTTACTTTTGGAGGCGCTTGTTCGTGGCGCTGTTCGTGTCATTGAACCGCGCGATTCTGAGATGGCCGGGCAGGATGCCACTCGGACAGTCCGTAAACAGAAAGAACATCAAGAACCACCTTCACTTTTAGGTCACTTGGGACCACGAACCGCAAAGAACTTCCTGAGTGTTTTGTCTCAGTTAGACGAGCCTCTGCGGATTGTAGACATTCAGATCAATGTGTGGAATCTGTTGTCTGCTGTGGTGACATGTAAACAGCAGTGGTTCTCGTTATATCTTCTTACTGGTAGCACTCCGCGCGAGTCTCTACGCACCAAGTCTGACGCAGCTTCAAGTACGAGGAACCAGGCACTGCTTACACGCGCCCTTGATTCGATTTCTGGTCTAGTACTACCGGAGAAGGAGGCCTCCAATATCTCGTGGCCACTATACACGGCCATGCTTGAGTTCGTCTCGTCAGCACAAAACAACTGGTCATGGGCAATGGGCGATCTTCGCGATCGCAAAGACCTCGTCCAGAAGTTGCTCGGCTTTCTGAAATGGATGGCAAGGCAGCCCAAGAACTTACGGACCAATAACGAGATCCTGGAGCGCTCATACCAGAACAGATTCGCATCTCTGGCTTGCGAAGTCATATCCATGTACCTCCACAGCTCACGACAGGTAGGAGATATCACGGTTCTCAAATCTGTGGTACCAAGTCTTGAATATTTAGAGGAGAACGCTTTGGACCTGCCAACGTACAACTCGTCTTTGCACAGCTATTTGCAGAAGAATCTCGAGAAGCAGTATCCTGGTGTTTCCCTTGCGAACCTCAAACGCACAACACTGTATCCCGAGGTCTTCGGTAAGGCCTTCTTTTACGATCCAGAGCTCGGACAACGACTCTTGAGCTTTGATAGCAAATGGTTGGGGCCAAAAGAAGGGACCGGCATTGCCAGCGACCTCGAGAAAGCCAACTTCAACCTCGGTTTGGTAGAATCGCAAATACTCCTGCTCCAAGGGTGGAAGCTGCTTGCCCTTGAATTGAGTTGTGTCGTTAGCAAGGATGAGCGTCTGGTGAAGGTGCTGAACGGCGTCATAACAAAATGCATGCTCGCCAACACACAAACCAACCTTCCGGAAGCTCTCTTCGGTCAGCTCATGATTGTCCGCGCCGACCTCGCCTTTGCTCTTCTCAAGAAACTTGTCGACGCTAAAGTGTCGTCGGCAGAAACACGAAAACTGCTCACGCCTGTCTGGAACGCGATCCGGGCCACTACGGCAGACTTTGACAGCGTCTTCTCTAGCGACAGTGTCTACTACTATCGCTCCCTGCTTCGCATCCTTTACCTCGTCCTACACTTCCACCTCGTCTCCGACAACGACGACAGTGAAGAAACAAACTTACGCTCAAGTTTCCGCGGTACAGTGCCCGCAAGTCACAACACATATACCGAATCTATTTCGACTCTGCTCCTTGAAATTCTAACAGACACGGTCGCCAGGGGCTTCCGCAGTCTGGCGAACCAACTCCATGCCGAGCCGTCCTCGGTCTTACCAGCAGATTTCGCCTTGTTGACCGCGCTGTTGCAACGTATCCTCGCAATCCCAGAAATGAGCAAGTGGCAGTCTCAAGCTGCGCTGTTGTTTGCAAATCACAACACGACCCGTTATGCGACATCCCTCTTCTCCTGGGCTGACAAGCTCACCGTCAATCACAACGGCGTGCAAGACCCTGTGTATGGAGAACTCAGTATCTTATTCCTCCTCAGCCTCTCTTCTATTCCTGCGCTTGCCGAAACCATGGCTGTAGATGGTGTACTCTCCCAACTCAACACGGCCAATATCACATGCTACTTCCGGCGGGCGGGGGGCATGGGACCGTTCGATACGCCAGCACGCATGCACAGTATCTGGACGAAGGGCGTGTTACCGCTCTGTCTAAACTTGCTGCTGAGCGTCGGACCGCCCATTGCGGCAGAGATATCGTCCTTTGTTAACCAATTTCCTGAACAATTACTGCGCGCATCCTCGAGCATCAATAGCAGCGCGTCATCGCGGGCGGCCCACGCCAAAATCACGTTTGGAACTGTGTCGGAAATCCACTCGTTGGCCCTCTTGGCTACGATTATCGAGGATGTAAGGCGGCAGGGCCCGAAGCTAGGGATCCAGAGCAATGAGGTTGCGCCACTGGAATGGGATGTCGAGCCTGTGAAGG